TTAATCAATTTCTTGATAATTTGATCACGTTTGATTCCGTTTTCATATTTTACACAATCAATAATCATTCTTATATTTTTATCTTGCATCATTAATACTAACATTGCTTACATGCTATTGATGCAGATGGGTGAAAATATGTTTTTAACCTATGTATTATTTTTATGTTTATATACACAACACATTTTTTCTGCCAGATCTGTTTCTGCCTCAACTAAATACTTGTTAGCCATTTACCACTCATTCAGAATGATCGATATTGGTTATTTGCTTCTGTACAACCAATTTGGTCTAGTTAATCCACCCACATTGAAATCGTCAGACTTCATTATATTATGTTCCTTTCGTAACTTAAGATGATGAATTAGTCTGGAGACATTGTTGTTTCCGCCCTCGAAAAATGATCTAAATAAATCAAATGAGTGGGAATAGTTTCCTTCGGGAAGATAACAAGCCCGGATTGTTCTTTAATAATCCAGACTGATTTATAGTCGATGAGGGTCTCATTATAGAAATATCTTGTCTAGTCTTTCGTAAGATTTTCATACCTTTCGCAATACAATTCCCTTCAAACCAATTACATAACTAAGAACTGTTGATAAGTAGCATTTCATAGTAATGATTCATAGTTCAGTGAAATTGTCTTTTATCAGTTGACAGACACATTCACACCACAAGGTTTCGAGAGATGCTGGTTGATGAAAAGTATGAAAAGTCGTATGGTCGTTATAATGATTTCACTAGGAAATGTGATATTTCTTTGTGCGATATGAAGCTAGACGTGTTAAATACTGACTATATTTCTTATTGGTTCCGTTGTTGTAAACCCTGTTCTCATTTTGGAACATGACATTTTTACTTCGATCAGCCAAGAGTTGAAGACGCTTGTTTTTCCGGAACACCTGGTCTTATTTTCTTTGTACTTTTTTTTTTACGAATCTCCCTGTAAATATCTATTTTGTTCATAATTTGTTCATATACATTGAACTTGAGGTTGGATTAAGGTTAGGATAAATTATCGTATTTGTTTTATGGTTTTTGTGCAGTATGTGTGATACGAATTCGATAGAACTTTCTTTACACATGATTACTGCTTCAATCCCCTATTACGAGACACAAAAATAAATCTTGGGCTCATTATCTTAACTGAACCATTTTATTCCCTTGGTCCAACTGAAGCTACTCTGTGACAGTTCACTAGCATAAACTTGGTAATGACATAAGTGGTAAAGATAGCATTTCCATATAATGGTCGCAACAAATATCCAGTTACTCTATCTAAATTCTGATGTATTGCACTTCTTATGGTACAGTTGTCAAGGCAAAGACAGTATCTTATGTTACAATTAAACGTAATTGAAGAACAGGAAATCTACAATTTATTGGTATGAAAACACTGATGATGTAAATACCTTTCCTCTTCATAATCGTACACTCATTATGCTCGCCCGTCAATAGAAATCTTATTTTCAGCAATTTTGATTTCCAAGTACCTCTTAGGTTTCAACAATAATTTAGGACCTTAGTGTCACCGATGAGTCCTAGAAGGATGAAATACCTGTATGATGCGAATTAATTTATTTTCTGACAAAAATGTAATATGCAATTCGTTCATAATACATATCAAAATCGCAAAATCCATTTGGACGAGATTTAGACCTCTACATGGGAATGCCTATGTAGAGGTCCCTATTCAAAGAGCATCACTCCTCGTTTGTTGCGTGCTTTCCATTTCCTCACAATTTTACAGAAAAATCAGAGAGAAGAATAGGCTCGTCAAGTCTTATTTGACATTTGGGTTGTTCTCTTAAATTTTTTTAATGCGATAATGAATCATGTTCCAAACTGATATAACCAATATATCTACTGTTGTGTCGTTTTTCTATATTCCTGTTTATAGTGTTTTCAATGTAATACTTATAACGTGTATTTACAGGCTGGAAATCTTCTTAGGGATGAGACATAGCAAATACAGGGAACTGTTGCTGGAGTTTACGCCCAATGAAGACCACACATATCGAAAGAACAATTAAATTTTTAGAATAGCCCCCGGCCATTTTTCGTATCCAACAACAACAATCATCATTAAATGATAGGCAAAGATAATTGAAAAAGATTATTAATATTGATGAACAATTTGATATATTATACATAAATTAATTAATAGTCGCTTCCGGCATTCGGGATCATCAAAATGAATTGACTTGATAATTTCAATTCACTTAAGATAATAGTAAAATGCTGTTCAACTGGCCATATATATTTCAAATATCATAAAAGCGTTCGTAATTCTTTGACATGATAACTTACACCAGCAAACTGTCATTTTTGAATATAAAAATCATTCAAAAAACTTTTTATCTATAAGATATTCACATGTGAAAACATTCAGAAAGTTCAAAACTTTAAATCGATTTTATAAAAGACATACAAGTGAATAGTGACTTTTGATACAAATTAAGAATTTGATATAGTAGATTCAAATAATAATTAGAACTGCATAAAGCAACCATTTTGTCCTTCTAGGATTCTTCAAACCTAGGAGGCAAATGTGGAAAATCTAAAGCGATTGAAAAAGGTCAAAATCTAGCCTGACGGCGCGTACTTATCAAATATTTAAATAATTTCGAAATCATCATGATAATTCTAAAATGATGTCAAGCACCTATGTATATTGTAAACTCGTAATGAAATATATGTTATGTCCTCTGAAAGCATAAAATCGGGTCAGTTAAAAATTTTTCGTTCCAAATCAGGAGTGATTTGATCTCTCGGTTACCCATTTCCGAACTCTGTTTTACTGCCCATCTACTTTATAATACTTTTGTGGCCCTTCTTCCATTCTTTATTGTATAACATCTGTAAAAACAATGTAAAACGCATTACAACAATCAATCTGTATATCAAGCTGTTGAGAACAGCGGAAGCAAATCTGCTTCTACTTTATGTTAGGTGTTCTACGAGGTTAAGTCGTAAAGTTTCAGTAGAATGGAGAATTTACATTAACAGTACGTTGTGGGATTCGAATTAAATTCAATTTTCAAGTGGCATGGTGTAACTTTCTTATTTAGTTAACAGGTTTAACATCCGAACATATGGGACGAACAAAGCAACGCATGCCTGGGTGATGAGTTTACTAACTCCACCCCCTGTATCAGAACGTACTTTCTTAATCATCTCCAGGCTGGCGATGGGTTTTTTTTTTATTGTTTACAGTGTTACATCACAAGTTTACCATATGTATAATTGCGTTTACTGTTGTTTTATTACAAGCTAATCTGTCAATCATAGAATTTATTTGTATAGTAGACAAAAACACTTACGTTTGTTAATTAACTGATCTGATAATTGGAGTAGAAAATCAAAGCTTGCAAAAAATGTCGAATTCTGTATTTTCTCAAACAAACTATTTTTTAGTTCTGTTGTACAGTCGTTATCTTTTCATTTGGGAATTTGTCCTGTTTCAAAATATTGTAGATTGAGAACATGTGACGATTTCTTTCCGCAATTATCGTTTGAATGCCGACCCAGGTGTGGGTCGTGTATTTCGCTCACTTTATATGGGGCCGGAGTTCTGACGTTTATCAACTTCAGACCAATACAAAATAGTTGATAAATAGCCAAAATGTGGTTAACCTTGTTTTCAGTGAGAGTGCGTAAGATCACATACTTTATGGGACAAAATCTAAATAGTGATTGTCGTCCATGAAGCAGGTATGATCAGCCTTCCGGAACAGTGGTCTTATTCTTTTAAATTTGTTTCGTGTTTTTTTTTTTCACTTTCATTTCATCAAACTTTCAATTACGATTTTATTCACTTGTCGGTTATTTTCTTGTTGTTTCCATCCTACGATGTGTTAACACTTTCTAAAATTTGGTGTGTAAACCATCCTCATAGTCTAACAATATATAGCATATCAAATATCGTGATATCTTTTTATATTGAACCCATTTGACGTTTTGTTTGATGGTGACCAATTAGCGTATAATATCTAAAAAATGTTTACCATTAAGAAATAAACTAATGTATTGAAAATTAAAGCAAAAAACTAGGTCAGTGAAGTCATATGTAGCTTTCAGTTTATATGCCTCTAGTACTTTTACGCCAATCTGAACCATTCCTCTCGACGACATTTGAAAATAAAAACTAATTGTTTATTGATCACACTGTCGATGTTGACATTCCAGATGTTTTATAGCTGTCGATGACATGGTGTTCGTACATCGTTTTCCCTAATATTTAAGTAGCTACAAAAGGAATAGCGTCTTGAGATATATTTTACCATTCCCATCCAATCCACTGATTATTCCCGGTTTAGTAATTTACTATGAGAATCTTAGAGGTTTTAATTTGAATTTTTATTCCATCTCGTGTATAAAATGCTGTTTAGGGAGTCTGCTCATTTCTGGTACATGTTTTAACTGTTTCAAAACCGACGTGTTGCTTCGCCGATGTAACAAGGATAACTGATCTGAAACGCAACTTATACATCAATTACTCGCATATTCTGTCCCCTGATTTCCCAGGGTGCAAAAACATGTATGCGATATCAAGTGGGATAAAGAAAAACAATTTCGTTAATCCCGAATACCTGCATTCATTTAGTCATAGTAAAAGAAGATAATAACGGATAAAAACGGGGAGTGGATGATCTCATCAATACTTAGCAACATAAAGAAAAGAGCTTCAATAGTTATCCGAGGACGGTATTTGGGGTATGGTGCAAAACAGTTCCTCTTTAAGTTTTTATTTACGAACAAAGTCACCTTCTGTTAAAATGATGTAGGTTACATCATTTATCAATATACAGTGTTACACCTGAGTTGACTAACTTAAAAAAACTGTACGTATATGTATAAAAATAAACATGTAGTTAAACATTATTATTAAAATTATGTATTTAAGACATGCGCAGAGCAATTAGTACTATCGATATGTATGTACTAAACATATTTTTATTTATTGTAGCTTATACACAATATATTTTTCCTGTTCACAGTTTGCGGCATTCTTCACTTTTACGTGGCGTCTTGGTGAAGTGATGTGTAAGGCAGTACACTACGTCCAGAATGTCTCCGCCATCTGCTCCGTCACCACGCTTACCGCCATGAGTTTAGAGAGGTAAGTCTCCTCTGTCTGCTTCGTCACCATGGTAACTATCATGAATTTAGAGAGATAAGTCTCCGCCATCTGCTCCGTCACCACGCTTACCGCCATGAGTTTAGAGAGGTAAGTCTCCTCTGCCTGCTCCGTCACCAGGCTTACCGCCATGAGTTTAGAAAATAAGTTTTCTCTGCATGCTCCGTCACCACGCTTACCGCCGTGAGTTTAGAAAGGTAAGTCTCCTATGTCTGCTTCGTCACCATGGTAACTACCATGAGTTTAGAGAGATAAGTCTCTTTTATCTGCTCCGTCACCACGCTTTCCGCTATGAGTTTAGATAGGTAAGTCTCCTTTGTCTCCTCTGTCACTATGGTTACTACCATGAGTTTAGAGTGGTAAGTCTCCTCTGCCTGCTCCGTTACCATGGTCAACACGCTTACTCCTATAAGTTTAAGAAGGTAAGTCATTCGTACATCTTCGTCAACACGCTTAATGCCATGAGATTAGAGTAATGAGTTATAAATACTGAAAGGATAAAGAAACTTCTTTTTATTGAAAACATATTTTGTATTGAATTTTCGTAGCCATTAAGAAAGTAAGGGTACCTTACCTAATCCCCCATTAAATGTTAAAAATCCGTTATCTGTGGCAAAAGCTTAAGTTCTAAATCACAAATATACAGTGACTGTACAAATGCATGCATTCTTTTCTATCGAAACTAGTGTCAGTTTCTGAATATCAACAAGAAGCATGATCGCCGATACATTTGCAATCAATAATTGTTTTTACCAATTAAGCCACGGGTTTTCCAAGTTGGAAGAGGACGCGCTCTCGTAATGCCCATGGGAGAATGCACTTAACAGCAGGTTGCTACTCACTTCGAAGTTAACGAATAGACAATGAGTCGTTTAGTTCTCCACGCCGTGTGAAGAACTGATGACAGACCGTCATCTGGACGTCCACGTCTAACGCCGCGACGTCAAAATCGGTTCGTTAGACTTGCTCACTCGCGTGACAGGAGATTAACGGCAGCAGAAACAGCACGAAATACCATTGATAATAGAAACCAACGATTCTACCCCAAAACAGTGTGAGAGATAAATTTATGCCCATGCCGCCAGTATGTTAGTTTTCTCCCGACACCTCAACATCGATCGCGCCGTCAGCGTGATCGACGGCACGTGTGCCAGACGTTTTCCTATAGGACGTTGAAGTCCCATGTTATCAAGATGAGATCCCGAGACAGTATGCTGTGCCTTTCGTCATAAGGCACTATTTGACTTTTCAACTTGACCACACGTTGCAAAAGTCTGTAGGATTTTTTTGTCCCTATTGACCGGCCTCTCTTATATACCGACATGACCCTAATGAAACACTTGTGGGATGAATTTAGTCCGAGTTCAGAATCGAGCAGATTCCAAATAACCTCCGCCAATTTGCCAGTCAACGAGAATGGAATAAAATTTCCCTACAGACAGTCAATGTCCCTATGAACTCCTTGCTACGCAGAATTAGAGCTATAGCTGTGAGGGAAGGGCACACACAATATCGGGTTCAGTCTGACCAGTGCCGTTGTTTCAACTATGTGTATATTAGGGTATCCCAATTCATGGCGGCCAAATGAAGTCCTCATTTTATTTAAACCTCAAAAAATTTGAAGATGGATGGTACAATATTCATAATTATCTGTTGCATTTCACATTTAGGTATATTGCTCGTGAATATTATTTTACAGAGATGTAAAACTGAGGTTGCGTTCCTATTCCCTCTAAGTATGCTTCGTCACGACGCTTAATGCCATGATTTAAGAGAGGTAATTCTCCTCTATCTGCCCCGTCACCACACTCAATGCCATGATTTAAAATGAGTTAAAAGATATGAATCTCCTCTATCTGCTCCGTTACCTAGGCTCCTGTCATGAAATTAAAGAAGTAAATCCATGCTATCTGCTCCGTTACCTAGGTTATTGTCATGAGATTGAAGAAGTAAGTCCATGCTATCTGCTCCGTTACCTAGGTTACTGTCATTGGTTAAGTCTCATCTATCAGCTACGTTACCTCGCTAACTGCCATTGGTTAAGTCTCATCTATCGGCTCCGGTACCTTGCTAACTTCCATTGGTTAAGTCTCATCTATCGACTCCGTTACCTCGCTAACTGCCATTGGTTAAGTCTCATCTATCGACTCCGTTACCCCGCTAACTGTAATTAGTTAAGTCTCATCTATCGGCTCCTTTAACTTGCTAACTGTCATGGATTAAGTCTCATCTATCGGCTCCGTTACCTAGGTTACAGCCATGGGTTAAATATCCTCTCTCGGCTCCGTGCCCACACTTACTGTCTTTAGTTAAGAGATATAAGTTCCCGCTATCTCCTCTGCTTTTTCGATTGCTGCCATGGGTTTAGAGAAGGAAATTCCAAATCACACGTGATTTTTTTTTTATTTTAACAACATAAGGATTGACCTTTATTTATGTATAAATACTAATGATTGAATATGCAGCACTGAAATATCTAGATATACAAATTTGATGCAAGACTATTAGTTTAAATTCATTATTATTGCAGGTTCTTAAAATTAACCCCTAATTCCTGCTGTTCAATTTCCTGGTAAGGATAGATGATGGAAGTTGAACGGTAAAGATTGCGTCATTACTTTAACAGATCGTCTTTTGTTACATTCCGTAAAAATCTCTCCATTCATAGGGAGTTTTCTTTTCATTCATGTTATCTCTTATAACATTCTCAACTCCCTACAGGCAAAAGTTTTGTCTTTCTTGAATAGTTGATATTGTATTGGTGAATAGCATTAAACCTACTTGTAAGCATTAGAAAGTGACACATAACTTGTATTTCTATGCCATAGAAAGTGTGTTATAATTAATCGGTATCGACGTTGCATTCCCGGCACAAAGGCGTTTCCGTGATCCCGCAGACTGTGTACATAGACATTCACTAATTTAATTAACACTTCGTTATGTGTTTATAACAAAGAACCTTGTTTGTCACGGCGACAAAACCAAGAGAATTCGTTAATAAAAGTAATCGGCAAATAAGTAGTAGTCACGTAATCTCCGTAATTAAAGAAGAACAACACGTACCAAAAAAAAAAAAAAAAAACCTCAATTGCGTAATCCAACTTGAACTGCTGTGATACTGACAATGCTGGTGCTCATCATGATACTACACGTACTAATCACAACACCATAACACTCTTCATGCTCATTACAATGAATATGAAACTACACGTGCCAGTAAATAGATACTGACATTCCACGTGCTCGTCATCATAGCTTTTTGAGCTTATCATGATATAACATATAACTTAACTACCACTACACGAGTTAGTGAACTAACACTACACGAGTTCGGTAAGTGAACTAACACTACACGAGTTCGGTAAGTGAACTAACACTACACGAGTTAGTGAACTAACACTACACGAGTTCGGTAAGTGAACTAACACTACACGAGTTAGTGAACTAACACTACACGAGTTCGGTAAGTGAACTAACACTATACGAGTTAGTGAACTAACACTACACGAGTTCGGTAAGTGAACTAACACTACACGAGTTAGTGAACTACCACTGCACGAGAAAGTGAACTACCACTACACGAGTTAGTGAACTACCACTGCACGAGTTAGTAAACTAACACTACACGAGTTAATAAACTACCACTGCACGAGTTAGTAAAACTACCACTACACGAGTAACCACTACACGAGTAAGTGAACTACCACTACACGAGTTAATGAACTACCACTACACGAGTTAGTAAACTACCACTACACGAGTTAGTAAACTACCACTACACGAGTTAGTGAACTACCACTACACGAGTTAGTGAACTACCACTACACGAGTTAGTGAACTACCACTACACGAGTTAGTAAACTACCACTACACGAGTTAGTAAACTACCACTGCACGAGGTAGTAAACTAACAATACATCTGCTCATCCTCAGAAGACTTACACTCTTGTACACGTGTTTATCCTTAGAAGCCTAACATTGCACTTGTGAATCTTCAGGAATACACGTGTTTATCCTTAGGAAATTGAAACTACAAGCGCTCGTATTAGAAGATTAACACCGCACGTGCTTCTTTAGTAACAGCTTCGATGGGTTCTAATCTTTATTTTCAATGAAAAAAGATACACAGAAAATCAAAATGGAACGAAAATATATGTACGTTTCATGTCTCTGTTGAAAATACTGTTTTTCTTTTTTGCTTCAATGATTTGTTAAATTCAAACGTACCAGCAACAATAAATCAGTATCACCTCTCGGAATATACAAGTTCGTCTTTAAATTATTTCGTTTTGTCAGCCCCTTTTAAAAACTTAAAGGAAATATTTAGAAGTTTTAGGTGCTGATATATGTTTATTATGATAATGTGTATTATTTGTAAGACCGCTGGTGTGTAATTCTTATATTATGGGTCGAATGCTTGAACAACCTGGCCAGTATAATTCATATATAGACCCTCCCCGAGATGTGGAAATATACAAAGAAAATTGATTTGTTATCGCACAATTATATATATAATATCGGTACAAAAACATAAAATTACCAGCTACAGACGATTTGACAACCGCCTTTCCCAGACGTCTTTATAGATTGGAGCATTAAACCCAACGTAGAGACATTTTGTGACAATCTCGGTCTCTTGCTATTAACGCACAAGCGTTCTATAGAAGGAAATGACATTGTGATTCGTCTAATTGAACAGCTGTGACATTTTGTCTGAAATACGTCCAGCAATTCTTTATATTTTCATTTCTTCTGTAAACCCCGATTTCTTTATAATCTGACCACGTTCCACTGAATTAAGAATGATGACTGAACCTACTTTCACGGTTCATATTGTAAGTTGACCGTTGGATCATTTATAAATCTATTGAAAGATCTCTTTTCCAGATGACTTATTGGATTGCTGTATATTAAAAATTGAGACTTCTTTGGAGATACAGCTTAGGAGGAATTACAGTCGGTTTCCTAGGTGGAATAAAATG